TCAGGAGGCTGAGATCTGAGGATCGCGGTTCAAAGCCAGCCCGGGCAGGAAAGACCGTGAGACTCCTATCTCCAATAAAACCACCAGAAAACCGGAAGTGGCGCTGTAGCTCAAGTGGTAGAGCGCTCACCTTGAGCTGAAGAGTTGAGGGACAGTGCCCAGGCCCAGAGTTCAAGCCCCATGACCGACAAAAAAAAAAACAAAACCATAATTTGTGCATGTGTTGTGTGTGTACATGTACATGTACGTGTACCAGTACTAGGGCTTGAACTCAGGGTCTTGAACTTTCATTTGGCTTATTTTGCCCAAGGCTGGTACTATACCACTTAAGCCACAGCTCTATTTCTGGCCTTTTGGTGGTAAATTGGAGATAAGAGTCTCAGGGACTTTCTAGCCTGAGCTGGCTTTGAACTGAGATCCTCAGATCTTAGCCTCCTAAATTCTACGATTACAGCCTCGAGCGACTGGCATCAGAAAGCACTTTAACTTGGTACCAGTGGCTCATACCTGTAATCCTAGCTACTGAAGAGGCTAATATCTGAGAATCAAGTGAGACTCTTATCTCAAAAACAAAAACAAGGGGCTGAGAAGGTGGCTCAGTGGTAGAGTGCTTGCCTTGCATGTATCAAAGCCTGAGTTCGATTCCTTAGCACCACATAAGCAGAAAAAGCCGGAAGTGATGCTGTGGCTTGAGTGGTAGTGTTAGTCTTGAGCTGAAGAGCTGAGCGACAGTGCCCAGACCCAGAGTTCAGGCCCCATGACCACCACCAACAACAACAAAAAAACCAAAAAAGCCAGAATTAGAGCTGTGACTCACGTAGCAGCATCCAGGTCCTGAGTTCAAGCCCCAGGACTGGCATTTTTTAAAAAAGCGTTCCAGTTGGGCACCAGTAGCTCACAGCTATAATCCTAGCTACTCAGGAGGCTGAGATCTCAAGGTCAAGGTTCAAAGCCAGCCTGGGCAGGCAAGTCTGTGAGACTCTTATCTCCATTTAACCACCAGAAAACCAGAAATGGCACTGTGGCTCTAGTGGTAGAATGCTAGCCTTGAGCTGAAGAGATGAGGGACAATGCCCAGGCCCCACAACTGACAAAAAAAAGGGCTTTCCTTACAGGCCAATTAGCAACTCTTAGTGTTTCCATTGGACATAGATTTAGACTTTTATTATTTTTTATTATTAATAAAGCTATGAGGTTAGCTCCCTTGTTGTATTGGCCTGTTGTATTGAAAATTTTTTACCAGAAGCAAAAAGCAGTCTTGGTTGGCAGAATAACTTCCAGCATGGAATTCCAAAAAAAGTTGCAAAAGATGAAGGTTTGAAATATTTTCTCAAATAAAGTTTCTGAGCCAGGCGTGGTGATGCACTCTGTCCTAGCGGAACTCAGGAAACTGAAGCAGGAAGATCATAAGTCAGAGGTCAGCCTGAGCTACAGATGGCATCTTTTATACCTAGAACTCTAGCTGACTATTTCTTAGAAGTTATTTTCAAACACTGTGGTTTGAATGATGAATGGATGAAAACTAGGAAACCAGGAACTATTTACAGCAAGCAGAAACTCAAGCTGTTTTGTAGCCCAGTCCTCTCCACCTGTTAAATCAAGGCACTTGGATTGCGGTACCAGGCGATTCCCCAGTCTTGAAATGAAAATCTGGAGCCTTAAGTAGTCTTAGCTTCCTGTGCTCTAAGAGCCTCCTCCTGAGGGCAGACCTTCCACCCAGGATTGGAGAGCTGTTCAAAACTCTTTGGATGTGTCTCAAAACAGAGCACACATTGCCAAATTGCCTTCCTTATGAAGTAGTTAATCCACACACTGAAATTGTATTAGCAATCTTGCTCAAATTAGTCATTTATTTCTTCAAAAGACAGTCTGATGAAAGCCTTTCTGATATTTACTCTCTCTGGCCAACTTGGTAGAAGAAGGAAGAAGAGGAGGAAGAAGAGAAGAGGAGGAGAAGAAGGACGATCAGCAGAGGAAGTGGGGGGGGAGAAGAGAAGGAAAAGGGGGCAGGTAGGAGGAAGAGGATAAGCAGGAGGAGTATCAGCAGAAGGGGAAGAGAGGAGGAGGAAGAGGAAGAAGACACATCATGTTAGAGATGACAGATTATATGTCCAGTACCTGAGAAGACTAGCCTAGGATAGGCAGGCTGTGGCAGGCTGAACTAAGCCACTATATTTTCTACCCTTCTGTGCTTTCTGAGGTGCAATCTTTTGACTCAGCACACACTCAGGAATTCTTCCATGAGACTCTCCACCCCACATACACCCCCAACCTGGTCATGTGCCACTTCGGTTTTCTGAGTGATTTTTGGAGATAAGAGTATCACGGACTTTCCTGCCTGGGCTGGCTTTGAGATCCTCAGATCTCAGCCTGCTCAGAAGCTAGAATTACAGGCATGAGTCACAGGGCCTGGCCCAAAAAATCGGAACTGACACTGACAAGTGGTAGAGCGCTGGCATTGAGCAAAAAAGAGCTCAGGGACAGTGCTCATGCCCAGAGTTCAGGCCGCAGGATCAGTAAAAATAAATAAACAAATAAAATTATCTGCAAAGAAAAGTTATTTTCAGTAATGGGTCTGATTGCACTATCAATCATGTTCTCTTAACTTTAAGTGGTAAGACGATATTGTCATAAGTTTTAACAAAATCAGTTGGTCAGCATTTATATATCAACAGTGGGCTGGGCACCAAAGGAACACAAGGAGAAATAAACACACTACAGAGTTAAAAGCCATATTCCCAGGCATCTAACTTTACTAAAAGTCAGAGTATAACGAGTTCTATACTAGATGGGTAAACTCACTACTATGGGAATCCAGGGACTCATAAACACACACACACACACACACACACACACACACACACACACACATACACACACACACAAACAAAATGACATTTGAACCAATCCTGACAGAATTTTTTTAATGTGTTCTAGAACAGGGACTTGAACTCAGGCCCTCAAGCTCTTGTGTTCACAGCTGGTATTCTATCACTTAAGTCACACTTCCATTTCCAGCTTCTTTCTGATTAATCAGATTTGTCTACCTGGGGTAGCTTTGAACCTTGATCCTAAGATCTCAGCCTCCTGAGTAGCTGGGATTATAGACATGAACCATTGGTCCCTCCAGACTTTCTATAAACCATAATTGTTTGGAGTATGAAATGGAAGTTAATGCTGAGATGAATACAAGGCAAGAAAGGCATCTGTTTTGTGTTTTCTTTGAATATTTATCAGAGATGCTCATAAATTGTTCCCATAACTTGATTCTCTTTGGGAGTTCAAATAATTGAGAAGGTTGGATGTCTGTACTGATTTTTCTCATCTGTGAGGTACCTGGATACCTGGGGACTATGAAGCTAAGCAATCAGACACTGTAAGACTTTTTTATTGATTGGCCCACACGTACAGCTGCAGAGTTAAACAGCAGGGATGCCCTATTTCTGGTCAAAGCTTGGAACTCTGCCAACAAAGGGAAACACCTGCAATTGAAAAGAATGAAAATGAAGGGAAAAAACCTTCTATTATCCATATACATGTATTATATATATATATTTATATTCCTTACAATAGGCAACAAACACATCATAAGTCCACATTTCATCTACAGTTCAGGATTTCATATTGAACTGACTTCATATATCTCAGATCCCACATACCCTTGAAAGCCAGCATTTTCTTTTTTTTTTTTTTCTTTCAGATATTGGGAATGTTTATTTTAAAGTTTAACAGATCAAGCCATACTACAGATCCTACTGAAATGCTTAGAGCAAAATAAAAAAACTAAATGAGCTCAATTTTTACGAGCTATTTCAGCCCAAAACGTAGAAAATAATCTATGGTTAGACCCTCCTCATTAATTGCTCTCAAACCTAAACACAAGTCTGCAAGTTCCTGACATCTGACGCAGTTTGGTCTTAGCTTCAAGCCTATCTAAGTAAACCTTGGGTGTTGAATTGCTCAGGGTGAAGGCCACCCACGGGCCTTGGGGATGGACAGCAATTTTCCTCCACCCTGGTATCAGTTTGCTCCAGGATAGGCAATGGGTATCTGGGCGGCATCTGTGACAATCACGTTCTGTTATGACCTCCAGTGCACCTGCCACAGCAGCAGAGACATGAGGCCCTGGCCAGGGTGCGGAACTGCCTGGCTGGGACCAGGAGACGCCTGCTGGCAGAGAGCAAGCATGGGCATGGGGGGGGCTCTTGTGGCAGCTCAGCTCAGCCCCTCTGCATGGGCCTGCCGGGCCAGCCACCCAGGTCAGCAGCCTTGTCCAGCTTGATGTAGGTGTCAGTGCGGACACGGTGCAGACTAAGCCAGTCTGGCAGCAGCTCAGGAGCAGCAGGTGCTTCTCCATCTCACCTGGGCTCAAAGTGGCACAGCAGCTGCCCACCATTCTGGCACAGGCCACCTCCATGGGGAGTGCTGGGAAAGCCAGCATTTTCAAAGGTGACTCATTATCTCTGCCCCAAACCTATTGTCCTTGTATTCTCTAATTGTGTGTGTGTATGACCTATTACCCTTGCATTCTCTAATTGTGTGTGTGCGTGCACACTCGTGTGTATGTATGTGAGAGAGAAAGAGAGACAGACAGACAGACACTCAGGACCTAGAAATTCTTCCTTAGCTTTTTCACTCAAAGCTGGTACTCTGTCATTTGAGCTACCCCTCCACTTTTGGCTTAGTGAATTGGAGATAAGAGTTTCACAGACTTCTACCCAGGTTACCTTCAAAACTTGATCTCAGATCTCACCTCCTCAGTAGCTAGGATTGAGGATATGAATCACTTGCTCCCAGCTTCTCTGAGCTCACGAATAGTACCCACAATGCACCTAGCCATAAAGTCAAAATTTATGAGTCACCGACTCTTCTTTTTCCCTCATTCCTTGACACCTAATCAATCATCAAAACTAACTGCTAGCTAGCCTTCATGGCTCAAATTTGTAATCCCAGCTGCTCGGGAGCTGGAAATCAGTAGGGTGGTGGTTTGAGGCACACTAAGGAAACAAACTGACAAAATTCTTATCCCAGTTAGAGGGGAGACATAAATAAGAACAATCTTGGTTCAGACAAGCCTAAGCAAAGAGGCAAGACCCTATCTGAAAAATAAGAGCAAAAAAGGCTGGAGTTGTGGCTCAAGTGGTAGAGCACCTACCTAGTAAGTTTGAAGGCTTGAGTTCAAAATCTAGTACCACTAATATACGTATGTAATATATATTAATAGGTATTATATGCATATCAGTATCTATATATTATCTATGTATAAATAGAAAAATAGATAACTATATATATATCTTTAGATAGATAGCTATAGATACATATCTGTCTCTCTCTCATTATATATATATATATATATGTCAATAGATAAATAGATAGATAGATATCCATCACCTCCTTGGTATCAGTAGTATTCTTCCTTAGTCACTTTTCCATTTTTCTCCTGCTGACCTAGTTCAAACCCACTTCATTTTATTTTTACCTGAAATTTGCAGCAGTGTGTAATTGGATTTCCTTCCTCCTGTCTTCCCCTTCTTTAATCCATTTATCCCCATGTTGCCAAGCTGATCTTTCTAAAAAAAGATATAAGATCAGTTGTTCCAGACACACTGTGAAGTAGCTAGCTTTCTTGTCCTCTTTCTTTCTATTCTGTGTGTGTGTGTGTGTGTGTGTGTGTGTGTGTGTGTGTGTGTGTGTGTTGGTCCTGGACTCGAACTCAGGGCCTGGGTGCTGTCCCTGAGCTTTTTTGCTGAAGGTTAGTGTTCTACCACTTGAGCCACAGCTCCACTTCTGGATTTTTCGGTAGTTTTTTGGGGAGGAGATAAGAGTCTCAGGAACTTTCCTGCCTGAGCTAGCTTTGAACAACAATCCTCAGATCTCAGCCTCCTGAGCAGCCAAGATTATAGGTGTAAGCCACTTGTGCCCCGTTTCTTTCTATTCTTAATGGAAAGTTCAATTTCTAATGTCAGTGTTACCTCTGTCTCTGTGTCCCCTTACCTCTTTTCAGGGAGTTAGACATGGTATCTCATTTGGAACTGACAATGCTTTTCATATTGACCACATTCAAGCCTCTGCTGCCCATGAAAGTATTCAAGCCAGGTGAGGTGGTTCACACCTGTAATCTCAGCACTCTGGAGATTAAGGCAGGATGATCACAAGTACAAAGACAGCCCTGGGCTACACTGTAAGATTCTTTCCAAAAAAGATAAAACAAATAAAGGACATTTATTCCCCTTTTCCACATACACGCACACAAATAAATGGGTCATTTAGTTATATGGAGGTCAAAGTTAATCTGGAAGGGAAAAATTCCCACAATTAGCTTACTCAAGACAAGAAGAATAGACGTGTGTGTGTGTGTGCGTGTGTGTGTGTGTGTGTGTGTGTGTGTATGTCTGTCTGTCTGTCTGTCTGTCTGTCTGTCTGTGTCTGTGTCTGTATGTGTGTGTGTGTTGGTCTTGGGGCTTGGACTCAAGGTTTGGACCTTGTCCCTGAGCTCTGTTGCTCATCTATTGCTCTACTACATGAACCACAGTTCTATTTCCAGCTTTTTGGTGGATAATTGGAGATAAGAGTGTCTCGGAAGCCGGGCGCTGGTGGCTCACGCCTGTAATCCTAGCTACTCAAGAGGCTGAGATCTGAGGATCTCAGTTCAAAGCCAGCCCGGGCAGGAGAGACCGTGAGACTCCTATCTCCAATAAACCACCAGAAAACCGGAAGTGTCTGT